ACATAATACAATACAATACACAATGCAATGAATATGTCTAAATTAGTGAACGCCATAGATCAGCCTGTTTATTATTCATCTAGTTTTTGTACAGTATTGTTTCTCCCAAAATTGCCTAATATCTACTATTGCTTAGTTTCTGGGACCACCCGTAAACTAATTAGATTTTATTCATTTTTAAATTATGCAGTGTCTACCATTATTTATTCAATCCGCATATTTTGTTTTCGAAACAATATTTATTTCGGACGATTGTTGTAATTTTGCTCACCACTATGATATGCTATTTTTGATGCTTCCCAAACACCACAGTATTATCGAGCTGTCACTGGAGTCTAATGCATTCATTTCATGCCTGCAGGCATTACCCACGTGTGTGGAGGGAGGCTACAAGTGATCGGGAAATTGTTGCCCAAGGTGGATACGACGTAGGGGGGGGGGGACTAGGTGAGTGGAGTGGATTGCGATGGACAGACAGATAATTAGACCAAATCGGTTGGAAGCGTGTATGAGCCATGTAAGTGAAGAGGACTGGTTGTGTAATTGGTGATAATCAACCGTTTATCCCGGGGTATGCAGTAGGGTATCAGTGGGATGGATTGATGGAAGTGTAGAGGGGGAGGATCCCGATAACCCTAAAATGACCTGAGATTGCATTCTCTGTGATCGGCTCATATGACAGATATCCATTAGAGATGAGTACAACCATTGTACCAGTATGATCTATCTATGGGACAAAAACCTTGACCTGTCCGATGCACAATTCACGCACTATCATGTCAGCTGAACTGGAAGAATAAAATATATGTTAGTGGCTAATTGTACCGCTTGCCGCGCAATCAAGTACCTCAGTTGGACGGTCAGCTAATTTGAAAACGCTCTCTAGTCAGGTATCACATTTACGCATCTGTTTTTCCGACATTTGTTATCCTATAGGTGTTAGTACTCAATCTAGATTACCGGAATGTTTCGGAATGCCCTTGCAGAATGCTAATAGCTATTTACCTACAGAATAACCCATTTCCGAAACAAACCAATAATGCAAGTTGATCTAGGGATATTCTCGCAGATATTATTTCCAACATAACACCGATCGGAAAAGCACCAGTTCTTGTTTCGACCAATGACACTGTGAGCATTCCCTCACATACGCCGGTGGTAATGGTCTGATGAGGCATGTTAATCTCAGTATGCAGACGAAATGCTGCTACATGTTGTTCGCCAACATGGAATTTTTTTATTTCTTATTGCAGATTAATTGGAACGAACTGAATCTGCCTGTTGCAAATGGCTTTCGATACGAAAATGTGTAATAGAAATGTGAAAACAAGCATCTTTCAGTCCGCTGGACGATATCAGGTATGCTCTGATTGAAGTGGAAAATTTTATGTTCAGCTATGTCTTACAGTAGAAATGTTCTACATTGAAAATTATGAATTGCTGGTACAGAATTGAGGTGTCTTGGTTTGCCCCAGTTTACTTGAGAGGGGATGGTGATAAAGACAGAATTATTATCCCATTTCGGACGCGATACCCCTCCTTCCTGCAGTACAAACCTTGGATTAATTGTCGACAGCCATGTGGAAAGTTTCTTTTGGCGGTTGCCGAGATAAGAAAAAAGTGGATGGAACCATCGCACGATACGCGGGTGTCCAAGACGAGTACGATGGATGTTAAGGCAGTCAGGCAGGACAGCAATAAGTGGCAAAGAAATCATCGCTGCGGGAGTAGAATAAATACGGTTTGTCAGTGGTTCAAAACCGCGTCCACCTTGTACTTCACTATTCTCGTGAGATGGATACTCGATCAAGCAAAGGTGGAATGAGGTTACCAGTTAGTTTACCAGTGAGTACCAGTAAGTCTGCACAAAGTTATCCGTTTCAGTTCTCAATTTACCATTAGTTTTGTTTACCCTCAATACAAACTGAAATGCACAAGATTTCTCTATCGTCTGCCCGTATTTCATCGCTCACATTTAAGACTCCGCATTCAACAGATTTTTGTAATCCCTTGTCAGCAATGCATTTGATGCACAGTTCTGTTACTGTGTCGTTCAAACAAACCAGCTTCGAGAAGCATTTCTATGCGATAAAGATTATCCACCTTATTCTCATTATACCTAGCCGATGGTTTTAAGATTTCGTCAACAAAGATGCTCTTCCCTCCAAATGTCTGCAGTTGCTGAAAAAATTACCACCTCTCTAGTTTTCCTTGAATATCTTGAGATTTTGGTTGAACTTAGATGGATCCTAGTGTATACTATACTTTCAGATGTTCTTTCAACCTGTATTAATCACCTTGCGATAAATAGTTTACTTATTCAACCGTAAAACACTAGTTTAAGTCCAAAGTTCTTTGAAGACCGCAGTTTGATGCAATACGCGTTTTCAATTTAGTTACTGAATCTCACTTCATGGGGAATTATTGATCACTGATTTGTCAGTACACAAAAGATAAATGAAAGCACCGAGCAGAAAGAGTAAACAGCTTTATCTACAACAACCACAGGTAGAAAAGCAATTTCTGAAAATCGATAAGCAGTTAATAGAATTACACAATTTATACTGCCAAAATTGGTAGCAGGAGAAAATAACAGGGGTTAAGTCAACCGCACATCTAGATAGCATGTTAGAATCTATCTATCAACCGCTTGTTGTTAGCGCCNCCCCAGATAAACTCTAATTGTTGATCAGGAGTGTGACTCGTTCATGATCACCAAAAGGATGATGCTTCGGAAAGGCGAAACTAAATTGGACAGAAGCAACGCAACTGGGTTACAAAACCGAGGCCATCACAAATCTGCGTCCATGTGACACGCATATATCTCACAAATAAACTCACTGAAGACTGTGTTTTTATCCAAACGAAACGATGGATTTCAGTATACATTTGAAAAGAAATAATTCAATCTTAGATGAATAAATTTTTTCAAGGTCACTGTTAACTTCAAAATAAATTGTTTCAACAACGTACAGTACAAAATTGAAAGAGTATTCACCACCTTTGCTGAATTTATATACTTTTATACCTATAAGCACGGAACAAAGTATCTGCGCAAGCTTTACAACCTACCCTCAGATACGTTGAGGACTTATATATTTTCAGACAATGGTAAGTTTCAATCTATAAGGATAAATTTTGTCTTGAACCAAGATTTAATCTATGTCTTTAATTGTCATTTGAGAACTGTGAACTCAGATGATTTTTGAACGAACTGATGGAACTTGATTCAATCGCTGTGACGTAATCCATGGTTGGTTGTTTACCAGCGGCATTCTGGAAGTGTGAGGATGACAGCTGAACGTGACCAGTTTTGTGCAGTCTGCTCGCTGAGCGCAACAATACTGTCACCGACAGCCATTGCATAATCTCCCCCCCCCTCCGTGTTTGTCGGGATCAAACTGTCGATCGTGGGAACGGGCAATACATTCAACTGACGACTACATCAAATCCAATCTTCACTTAGATCTCTTCGCATAATCGTTCCGCAGTTATTCATTATTCTGTCCAATAACCCATATGCATTTAACGACAGTCAGTTTAATTGAAAATTAACAGTAATTTGGGATTTTCAAAACTTAGGTTCTGTCCTATTGGCAGCAATCGAATAAACATTTGACTATCCACATTGAAAATATATTAAAATACAAAATGTTGGAGACGATGTTTCATACTGGCTGAAAAGTCACTGTCACTGTTTTTACAAAATAGAAATTTTGTTATTCTTTTGCCAATAAACACAAACACAAGATGGTGACAGTTCTGGTTACATGTTGGTAAATTTAACGTCACTTGTCCTCTCTCATATGGTGCCTCAAAGTCCACAGGTCCCATATGTGTTCTACTCTTTTCAAATGTTCTAACCATTTTTAATACACCGAAACCAAACGATGTTAGGAGTATGTCGAAAAATCGATGCTCCATGTGTTGCGTTTATTGTGAATGTTATGATGTTAATATCACAGCGATGTACGCGCAGAATTGTATTCGCCGACGTTTCCGTTATCGTGGGTAACCTTTCTCAGGGCAGGTTTTACAATTAAATGAGTCCAAGGAAAGGTTCACAAATCAACGGATGTTTCGTCGTGTGTGTGTTTGTGAGCGTGGTGTGATTTGTTATATATATATAAATATATATATATATATATTTGCTATTTACATGACGAACGTCAACTTTGAAATTGAATCAAATCCTCCATTACTCATTTACTTTTATTCAATACTAAAACAATTTGAGAACAATAGCGTGTAGTTGCCAATGCGAGCAATTTGTGTGCCGCTCAAATAACGAAGTTCAATCCAAAGGTGTTAAATCTGATTCCGTCCCGATCTCAGGAAGCCTGGATTATTCACTTATCACGTGCATCGTTCAACACACTAAAGTTGTCTACTCATCATCTTTGATCACTGATCTTCTTGGTACCACACCAACTCTGAGGACTTGATTCTAAAGCATTTGTGACCTTCTCAACCAGACGAATTTATTCATTCTCTTACGTGGTGTAATCCCTAATTAATGACAGTATTCTTCAGCGTTTTTTTCTAATGCCTATGATGTGTATAAGGATGATGATCATGATGGTGGTCATGTATACTGAGAAAAGTAGTATTTGGTTATCAGCAACACTGCGGTATAGCAATAAAACTCTGGCTTGTGATAGATTAAAGGAAATGGTCTCGGATAACATGCTAACTTGAATTGATTGCATGCATTAGATGGTATCCACCAGTGACCAAATCATTCCTGTGAGACAGATGCACGTATACAAGTAATGGTCATACTCCAAACCACACCATATTTGCATTATTGTTTGTTCGTGTTTTTTTTTTTGCTGATCACGCACAAGTCATAAAACTTGTCCAGGACAACATGAGAAGGTGATCAGACGAGAATGTAAAATATCGGTCATCATTCCGTCTCGTTTTGTTCGCCTCCCTCCCCCCCTACCCGCCCTGCCCCGCCCCGGTTGGTCGAATGAAACAGGAACACAACAAATCACTCACGCCATACTCTCCTGTTCCGCCGCGCATTTACCCACCGCTCGTGTGGTGTTGATCAACAAATCCTGATTGGTTCGTGTCAATAACGAGACCAACGGTCCGATTCCACCCGCTTTACGGATCGCGCTACGATTGTTCATGTCCTTGGCCATTTCACCGAGTGCACCGACCACATTGACCAAGACCTGTGCCCGGTAGCGGGGTGGAGCGGGGCGGGCGAGTAAGTCATAAATAAGGATGGGGTTCCCGATTGGTGTGGGATGAAACAACGACTCAATGAACAGCCAGGTCATAGTAGGCATTGCGGACCCGTCGAACAAACCAGAATGGCAACACCTTTGGACAATATTCACACTGCCCAATGTCTCATACAACGAAATAATCAAGTGGTCCACATATATTACCACTGTGTGCGCAAGGAGCTCGAATAACAAACAGGTATCCAAAGTTTTCGGGGCTGTTCAATCAATGCATAAATGAATAAAAAAAATACATTTGAACCGAAAGAAATAGGCTAAATAAGTGCATATCGAACAGCCGATGCTGATTTGGTCATGTGACCAAACCATTAGGGGGTTTTCGATAACCTCATTTATACTTTTCATCATCTTCAATTCATTCCGCTATTCTCATTTGGATGAGCAAGACAAATCGCCAGAAATGACAGCCGGCATGACTTAGATGATTATCGCCGATTAGCTGGAAACGCCGTTTGTCATACGCAAACAATGGCGTCCAAAGATGTGTACCGCTCCATTGGTTGTTCAGGGATGCAACTGAGTAATCTGATTCATATACTAATTTTATAATTCCGGTACTGATTCGACGAGAATTGTTTATTACGAACCAGAAATAGCGTATCAATAATTTGGCGTGCATATAACAAGATATCTCATTTGGAACACGTCATCACAATTCCCAGTAGAAAACCAGATGATGAAGGTAACAGTTCATAGTTATTATCGTGAACACAGTAATTGGCTCTATGAGGTTTTGCTCATTTTGGACTGTTCAAAAAACCGCCAACTGTATCCTTTTGCGTGCCACTCACAAATATCAGTAGTATCTCACAACATCAGGATACGCATTACTCTTTCAACCCTCTACTATTCGCCTCAGGCCCGCCGTTTATAAATCAACAACTTTTACCTCTGTATTACGTATTTCGAAACCCTATTGTTATTTGTTCACCTTCGTCTATTTCTCTTCGCAAACCAGCCTTAGGGACCTTAGGGACCTCATTTACGGTATCGGTGAAATGTTTTATCTCACTTTCACGTATTTACTACCTAACATAACACTGAGCTCGATGCAGATGGAATGAATAAAAAAATATTCTAAGATCATAAAATGACCACAATGAGCCACGACGAGTTCACATTTAGCAACGAACGGTAATCACACTTGGGTAGGTGAAGGATGGGGGTAACTTCTAATTGATCTGAAACATGAGGCAGAAGCGCTCGGTAGATAGTTACCAAATAAAACTGCATTGGGAGATAGATGTACGGTCCGGTTTTTTTTCTGTAGTCCATGACTTTCTTCAAATTCCAGCCAGATACTGAATCCCCTCTTCATTCCGGTTTATAAGCAGTGGCAACTTGGAGCATCGTATCACTTATTTGGACGTGCTGTATAGGTAAGCAGCAGATCCTCTTGGAGGACCTGAGTTTTAAGCCATTCACAATGCCTAGTTAATTTGATTTCAACTACACTTCTCTCAATCCCATTTCTTTCCTTGTCTTCCGCCACAGTGTCTCTATATTTCAAAGTGTTGCTACCAGTTTGACCGGTCGACTTGTTTGTTTTCAGTGTTGCTCGACACAACAGTTCAGCCTCCCTAACGGTATACCCAACTACGTTTAACCAATTCCGATAAGCTAAGGCATTCGTAAAATGTCAATTAAAAGTTCACATATCCCCCACCTGTCGAAAACAAAGACTTTTAGTTGTCTTCTAGTTCAACCTACCTCTCAATTAAACAAACGTTCTTTAGCTCAGTTAGCAAACAATAACCAAACAATCCTCCGCGTCACATAGATGAACACTGTTCTGTTGACTTACACTCTGTTGACTTGTGCCCAAACAAACGATTAAGTCCATTCCCACATGTGCTTGATAACGACACAAAAAGGACACATTCAAATTTGGACACAAGTCAGATCATCATGTGTTTGCGTTGTTGATCGAGAATCAAATAGTTGATATGTCCCTGATCGATCACACCCCCCACAGATGACCTTCATTAACTGGTTAAACAATTGTTACGTAAATAATCTTCCCATTTGGTGAATACAATTTGGTGAAAGGTTAGCATACACTTCCCACTGACAATTGCTAAGGCATTGTCAGACCACTTATTTCTGGGATGTGGTTGAGTATGAAGTATATGACTAGAATCCGTATGATCAACCACAGATAAATGTTTTTTAACAACGGGCCAACTAACTGTAAACAGCCACTCAGCCTCATATTCTTGATTCAATTATTGTATAGCGGAACTTTTGTAGCTCCCGTATAAGCTGTTTGGTAACATGGCCACAAACACACACACACACGCCTTTCATCCTTTGAGCTTGGGTCTTTAGATGGGTGCTACTGAGGTGTTTCACTGGGACAGCAAAGCTTGAACCGAGTGCTCCCGGACTGAATTGCGTATTGTGCGTCGAGGTAGAGGACGAAAGGACGTAAAGGACGAATGGTCATTTCAAATCACTTTCAGTTATCCTACACAACTACTGTCAAGCAGCTGATATCAGTTCAGTTCCGTTTTTATAACTTGAATTTGAATAAAGAAATAAGCCATTTGTGGAAAACGGTATTCTACTATACTTTGTATTGCATCACCCACCCTTCTAGTAGGAAAATTGTNNATACGGTTTTATTTGGGGCTATGCTGTGTTAACAACTACAACAATTACACCCGGTTTTCATTGCTGTTCACTGAGGAGAAGACATTATTGCAAAATGTTGGTTTCGCTTATTATTTCTCATTGTTCATAAAAATCATCGATTTCACCGTAAATTGTTCATCACCATCACAATACCGATAGTTATTTCCATAGGAGACCGTTTCCATTATAAGCAAATGTGAAGCAATTAATTCNTAAATGTTATGCTACTGTTATTTGTTTAAGTAGGCGTTATTTCAATCGATAAAATACAAAACGAACAAAGAACTGTGAAATTCAAAACAGCAAAAAACAAAGTAGCGAACTTTGATTTTTCGTTACTTTTTCGGTGCGCAAAACCAATTGAATTCTCGGTGAAACCGAATCAACATAGAGGTAATTTGTCATCTATAAGTGGTAGATAAAGCAAAAACCAGTTATTGCCTTTCTGAAAACAATATGAGGTCACAAATACCATAGGTCTAAAAACATTATTCTTAGACAATGGGTTTAATTTCTAAGACTACGATTTTTTTAAAACCCAGCCAATGTGTTTCATAATCAAAGATTAACGTATGAGCCAACCATTGTGGAAGAATATGGCCCCAGTCAAATTGTGCTTCGAAAATCTCGCGACCTACGGGTTTTTCTACCGTTACAAATAGTTTATGCTCATCTGTGAGGATAGCACTACCTTGGAGGATGAGGAATGTGCTTTACAAGTTCTAGTGGTCGGAATTTTTCCCGTGGTCATCCCAGGTGGCCTATCGCAGATAATACTTTGAAAACTGAACTATAAATTACTGAGATGTGACTGCTCTATGGTGACGCGGAAATAATTTTGAAAAATGATGTTTCATCTTTCTTAATTGTATTAAGAGATAAAAAGAAACGTCTCCCGGGTTTTAAAATCCATATAATCGCCGTCTTGAATTGCTAACTGACCAAAACCCGTTTCGGAAAACGCATCATAGGCTACTTTCGATCTTTCATCGGTTTGTTCTATGACATCCCATAACATGGCCCGAAACAGGTTCAACATTTTTTTGGTCATTCGATATCACTCTCTCACTGGTGCATCCAATGAACGTTGCTTTCGATCCAACGGAAACGATACTGACCGCGGTCTAACAACATCACTTACCTAAACTTCTTGTACTGATATTCGTCAAAGTGCGGCTACACAGATCTTGCAAACCTGATAATTCAAAGTCTATTTTACCTGCTCTGGGACTGTTATTTTTTCTCTTGAATAATAATTTTTATACATAAATCTTTCAGCCAAAGCGTCCGGCGTCCATGTGCGAGTTTGAATCCCGCCTCGGTTGCTGAATTTTTCACAATTTCAAAATAAAAATTCAATCTGACAGAAAACAATTCGACAGAGATTTACCAAACTGGAGAGAACTGGCGTTCAGCAAAATCATTCACCGTTTATTTTTCTTGTACATATAATTGTTTCATGTGAGAATGCATGTATGAATTACTCATCCTCTGTGATATGTTGCAGTTCCTATTCGCTTTTAAAAGATATCACCGGTAATGCATCTTTTCCCTCACTCTTTATTATTACTGCTTTTAGGGGTTTTAGGTTTCCACTGTTATGTTCTCCAGTCTTCTAATCAAGGACCACAAACTCATTTCCCGATCCCTCAAGTTGCTGTCCGTATGCAGTCATATAACCCTGGAAAATCTGATGCAGTCTGTGGTAGCAAAACGCTTCAAAGCCTGTAAAACGTTCTCCCAGAAGACGTTATCTGATTGTGCCCATCCTCTATATTCTGCTCGTAGTAACTGCCTTTCTTTCTTCCGTTCTGGTTATAAAATTATCAAGACAGGCACCCCTCGGGGTGCATATAAGTGATTCCATAATTTTAAGTCAAAAACCAGTTGCCAGACCCACAGCGAACCGATCATCGCTTTTGGTGGCCCGGAAAACACTGGCGATTTATCACCAAGGACGGTTTCTCCAAAATATTATCACCCTTCGCCAAGGTTAGCAAAAAACGTCCATGTTACAGGCTGAAACTTCACCCTTCGGGTGCATAAAGCTTAGTTTGATTGACCGACTGTTTGACTAAACAACTGACTGACTAACTGACTAGGCTGAATAGTCATGCATTTCCTGATTCGAAATACCCTCATCTGTGATATTTAAGAACCGGACTTTGTGTAACTTTAATTTTCAGTGACATCTAATCAGTAATAATTCCGACGGGAGCAGAATTAAATTGAAATTCTCTCAAAACTTTTCATCGATTGTTTCTTGAGTCCAAATCATCAAAAAAACATAAATCACTGAAAGAACGGAGCCTTTCCGCTTTCGTTAAACCACAATTTATTCTACTTATAACAACAGATGTGAATGCACGAAGTTCATCCCCAGTGGCTGCACAGGGTTTCGTATCGATAACTCACCTCCTCCGGTTGTTCGTTCAACAGTCCAACAAGTTTGTCTATAGCACCGAGTTTTTGAAATTGTTTCACATTTTCCGGTGAAATGGCACATTTCCAAATCGCTCCGGTTGCGGCGGCTAGCAGCTCCTTGTTCTCCTGATTATTCAACAGTCCAATAAGTGGCTCTAAGCCTCCGTACTGCCGTACTAAGTCACGTGTTTCCGGTTCTTCAGCGCACTTTATCGGGAAAGGATTTAACACAATTTTATCACATGCGTTTCGGTTGTTGTTGAACATGAGCCAGGTTATAAATGATGTGAGATAAATAAAGAACATTTTGATTCCGAGAGAGAAAACATTATCGAATCCATGTTTTGCTTCAGGACAAAATATGGTCAGTTTACTAAATTTAAGCAGGAGAATTTTCTTTGAGATTCTTCACTACAGCATTTGATTGGCCAAGTCTGAGATTAAGGGAGCAGAGCGGTGTCTGAAAGTCGCACACTGACGATTACCAGTTCTGATACCTTTACCGGATCAAGCATCATAATATATCCCAGAGGAACTAGTAGTTTTTCACCACGTTTTATTGTTTCTAGCTGAGTAAATTTTGGGGATAAATCAATGTCCAAAATGTCTTCATTTTTCACTAAAATGCTAAAGGATTTTTTCCCAAAATCTCTGCAACACCACTATCCTAGTATTATACTTAGAATAACTCATTTTACGCGACACAGTGAATATTCAATATCCGGTCAGTGTTGTGTCGGTGGGTTCATCACTCGACTCACGTGGAGCGAACATTTTATGGCTAATTGAGAAAACCATAAAGCTACAACTATCTCTATAGTCTGCTTACTTAATGCCGTCAAGTTGAAGCCGTTTTTACAATAAGAAAAATGACACCTATCAATGAGATTAAATTTTAGGTATGCCTCTGAAAGCCTCGGAGTATGGTCGGTGGTGGGTGTCTCGAATTCCCACTGGTTACCCCATCCTCACCGCATGTACCTCGTGAAATGCTATAAGACCAAGCCTCCCAAATGACTTCCGCTGGCGAATCCTACTCACTGCCTCCTCGTGGCTGAGGTGCTGTCCCACCAACGTGCGAGGAAAAAAACATATCCAGGGTTTTAACCGGGTCGATGAACCACTGGCATTTTTCTTAGTGGTATCGAACCAAAGAATAAGAGGCGTACAAACCAAACATATCCACACATCCCAGGTCGTGGTAGTGTTCACCGGCTTGATTGGGTATTGAGATGTATGGGCTCCTTCGACGTTCGACCCCGTCCGAAGGGCTTGTGATCCGATGAACTATAGACACCGGCCTCCAATGGCTTGCGGTTTTCACACACCGCCCCGCTGCCTTGCCAGTCAAGCTTTGGTTAGCTGATTGTGAATTCCTAAGACAATTCATCTGCTTTGGCTAGGCAACCTAGAGGCAACGCGCCCTCGAGCAAGTCAAGGATCACTTATCTTATCACTTTGATTGTTCTGTGTTTGTTCAGTACATCGTTTGGACTCGGACGTGTTGAAAAACAATTAGGCACACAAATCGATACATTTTAACGTGGGGCTTGTCAGGACCGATGTGTCCCTTCCTTCGGTTCGCAGCTTTCTCCGCTGTTCTCTTGAGCAAAGCGTTTACAAAGAAAGCACAACTCGGTTGGGCGAATTTCACAGCGCGGTACCGATAAGCTAACACAACGGCACTCACTGTGTTGTCTTGCTTGCTGAGTAAGAATTGTTTGTTCTGACGGGATAGGACGGGATAGGCAAACTCAAATCGAAAGCATCTTCAGGCAGAATAAAAACCGAAAAAGGGTAAGCCCTACACCATCCCCGTAAAAAGATCATTCACCGCTCTATCTTTCTTCCAAAACGATGTCGGTGATCACTTTGTTTTGGGTGCTGTAGTGTTATCTAAATTTGCTACTGCCGATTGCAAGATAATCTACTCGAACTATCCGGCCGTTGATCAGAAGCATACAAATTGGCTACCATTGTGGAAACTATTTAGGTTTTTCCATCAGTTGACCTGGCAATAGGGAGTCGGTTACATTGGTCTAATCAGTCGATCCACAGGATCTAACAGTATCATCCGGCCTATTTGACCAAGGAACTAACGAAAGTCATAGATAGTTCAGTTTTGGAGCATCTAACCAACAGGTCGCATAAAGAAGACTCGGTTGGCATTTGCCAACTTGAGACATCTGTGGCTTCGTCGCGACATCCGGCTTGGTGTAAAGGGTCGAGCGTATGCTGCAGCAGTTCGGTCAGTTCCGGTCTACGGCACAGAAACCTGGCAATTACCAACCCGAAGCATTTGGTAAATGTTGAAAGTTAGGCTAATTCCAGCGACACAGTACCCCGAATCTAGCCCAGTGAGTGGACTTATGGTCTACAACGCCGAAACGGTATCGATTGGGATCAGATAGCGCAAGCTACAAAAAGCAGAATAAGATTATTAACAACCCGAGATCGTAATAACGAGACATGACACGAATAAAAGCTCAAACCCAAAACTGAATAATTAATTTCCACAACCAATTTAATCTAATGATTACAATTCCCCATTAGACCGACCCAGTGTTATTGTGCATTCTTACTTTTATTGTCATACTGTGATCGTTGTATCATAGCAAAAGCTTGGAATCACCAAGCGAAAAGAATTCTTCGATTCAACTGTCTTTTCAGTGAAGAATGGGAATATTCTAATAATTTCATTTAACTTTGTCATAGACCTTTTTCATAAAACAAGGATTTGAAAGCAGTCATTTGTTAAGTGAATAACGGAATCAGAATACGATGACATACGCGAGTGATCGTTTCTATCCACAACGTGTTTGTTTCTCACCTTGTAGATTGTAGAAGCACAATGCATTTGGAGTTCCGGATTTTCTCGTTTGAGATTTTTCACCAGATCCTCAATCATTCCCTCGGACCGAATTGCGACTCGGTAGTTTTGCTGCGCGTTTTTCAAAGGGGAAATTTGATGACAAAGTTATGCGAATGAAGTAGGCAACAAAAAAATTGTTAACTGGAATGGAAAGCAACACGAAAATTGAGAAAATAAGTTCAGTGGGCCACAACTGTCGGTTCCGTCCGCGTTGCTCTCATGTGAATAATTTCTTTTATGTGTTTGCTTCGATTCGGAATCATTCGTTGTGTTTCAGTGTAATCCTGTCACGAACGGGCTTTTCAATGGATAATTTCATGCACAGTATATTGCTCCACATTTTCATTTTACCATTTACCTCTTCCCTTAAGTCTTTAAAAAGAGGCTTGTAGTTGAAAGTATCAGATAGTATGACGTGCCCCCTTCATTGGTTGACTATCACTGGAGGCCACATATGAGAAAAAACACCAATTGGTAATATTGGTCTGCTTCAGTGTGAGCTGATCGGTACAAAGGGTAGCACACTCCTCCCATACGATGTGTCTAGAAATCAATATCCGGGTCGAACGGTGAACAGGCAAAATTGATGATGAGATCAAATAAGAGTGAAACTTGAATTTAGGGAGAGACTCTTAAATGTACTGTGAACTTTATAAACTGGGTACTGTGCTTGAAGATGGAGTTCGAAGAGTGATCAGCTAAATTCAAAAACAATAATCTCACAACATCACTCACAAGTAACTAAGACGTGAACTTGTATCACAAACAATAGCCTAGCCGATTTAATTGGGATCGTATACCAAAACTCAGACTTGACTTGCTGGGAGACCCTTAAAGTAAGTGGCAACATAGCATACTGTGGCTCTATTCGCTAATGTCTGGCCAAAATAAATGATTGACCATTTGTGAAGACGACGCATGGCTCAGCGCATTATTCCTACGGGCTTGATCCGATTGCTTCATGTTTGATTTATCTACAACATATTTACTATCTTAAAGCAGAATGCATATGGATTTCAAATCTTGCCGCGAGGTTTTTATGCGCGATTGTTCTCTCCTTATACACCTAAGTNACCTAAGTGCAGCATGCGGCAATATTTGCCCGAGTAGACCCCACCCCAGCGACACTTTCATCCCCGCTCGGGGACTCACTCCAAAAGTACTTTTGTTTGTCTATGGAGAAATCGGTTCACTCGGCCTGGCCTGGGTTTTGATAGATCAGGTCCAATCGGTGATGTGTGACGGCAGAAGAATGCGATTGGTGGGATTCACTTAGTGTTGAACATGTGTAGACAAGTCATGCTACAAGATTGCCCAGTACTTTGATCTTCATCTTAGATTGCGCGCATGTGTATGGATGAGCTCAAAATACAGATTGTCCACGAGACCTATCGAGTGTGCTTGTTCACAGACCGATGATATATATATTTGATAATAAGTAGTATATGAATGACTGGACAAAATTTCCCTGAGTACAATTATATGAATGAACTGACAAAAGATTACCGGATACGCAAGAACCACGAAATCGGTCGTGTGCTTCCAGGGAAATTTTGTCCAGTTATTCACATACTAATTATTAACAAATATTCTACCAAGACCAGCAGTTCATGTTTGTTGCGGTTCCTAGCATCTAACCCACTTACATAGCATTGATTCTTCCTTCATTGGACCGGCTCTGAAAGAGATGCCTATTCAATGATCACCCGGTGCTGCAAATAGGGTTATTGTGACGAACATATATGTATACATATATATAACGGAGGAGTTGATTAGTGTTAAATATTATTCGAATATTATTATAATGCCAATTTCTTCACGGATTGTGGTCCACTTGGGCAAATACTGAAGTTACAACGGACTCATCTGAAGGTCGCATGCCGGACGGTCAGTAATAATTGGAGGACTGAATCTAAATCATAGCTCCCACATTATGAATGCAAGCTAAACAAACTTCACTCTAGTGAATGTCATGTGAGCTCAGACGTGTACAGAACGTACTAATCTTTCTGAACTCACTGACAAATCTCATGTAACAGTAGACTATATTGGATATTGAAAGATCACCAACACACACACATGCACGCACACGCATGCTCGAATCACATCCGAGTTCCATACGATGTCATCATCCCATTGCCTTATAATTGCTTGTAACGTGAGATTAACCGATTAACCGACCTGAAAAAGGCCTTCCAAGAGGGTCGAAACGTTGTCACCAACGCCCTTGTGTTTTGGTTTTCATTCTTCGTGGCTAAGACAAGCTAATTTCCTCAATAATCATGAGCATGACGCCCAAGTTTTTCAGTGAGATCCATTCCATCCATGGATCTCGTCTTATATTGAATTAGATTCAAATATGTGGAACTGACAGTGTGGGGTCTTAGAACCATAACTCATTTAGGATTGAGGCACCTCTGCCAAAGAATGTGAAGCATCGGGCTATTTGGTAAACCAGCAAGGAATACAAAGTTCACTTTGAACGAAAATACCGTCTGTGATAAAACTTACCTCGGAAGCACATTCTTGTAATGTCCCAACCACTGGAATCAACATATTTTCATGAGGTGATTTGAGCAAACGTGCCAGCAATGATATGACTCCAGCTCTTTTCATGGCCAACTTGTTTTTACGTGACCGACTGCAAGACCACAATGCCAGAGCACCACAACGCGCCACCTCAATATCACGCTCCACTTCAGCGGTCATAGGAGCGCTGTTCAAGCTGGGACAGTCTAGCAGGGCAACCTGTCTCGGTATATATCGTCAAAAGAACACAGAATGAGTTCAACAAGTGATGTGCAGTTTGTAATATCCATCATGCTATTGTTGAAATATAATTGACAAGCTAACTGCAATTCTGATGATGGAAATAATGTAAACAACTAATGAATAGAAAATCGTAGAATAAATGAATTTTATTTGTGTATCGTCTTGAATTTTTTGTTTAGTCCTCGCATCAATTTCGGATAGCCTTATGTGGTGACGGACGGTTTGAATACATTTGAATAAATGGTAGATTTAATGCCTATACTGATCCAAAGAAATGATACATGAAGAATGAGTAGTTTCACACGCTACTGGTGAGCAGAATACTGTCAGAATTCCTAAAACAAAGCAGGTGAATCGTCATGGAAATTCACAAATCCTGATCCGCAAGATAGATGCTCGGTTTATGAATATCGTAATCCATTTGGGGGCCGATGTCCAGTTTATAGGCTTCAAAGGTCTTTCAAGAACTCGATACCGTATCAGGCCTGAAACCACTGAGAGAATTGGGTGTGGGTGTGGTTCACATATCTTTTATTCGTTGTCTTGGGATCGGGGTTTTAAACCTACAGCCCTAGTTGACGTGTTAGTGTTCCCAGATTTCGGTTTTTCGTCCTCTCATTTTGGATGAAAAAACACCTCCGAAAGGTGATTGCAGTGAGAGGGTTTCCTTAGCACAGGATGTTGAATCCAAGGTTTTTCCAGATGCCTGCATTTCAACTTGGATCCCCTTTCTAAGCGAACTTTTCACCGAACTGGAGAAACGGAGGCTACTGGTTTAACACATTTACTACAATCAAGCGTCGTTTGCAACAAATTCGACTTCATTTGTAACCCAAAAAAGATTCCAATATTATTTTGTCACTGAATTGCTTCACCTGGTGTCCAGCAACCTAAATGATTTCAGCATCAATTCAAAATAGCCGGGCATCACGTTTCATGCATTAGAGGCTAAGCAGATGGAAGTGAGAAATTTAACGTAAGTAATAACACGGAATCTACTAAAACGTCATTTTATCTGGATATTTCAGTGAGGTTCAGCCTGATCAATGTATATATATATATATATATATATATATATATATATATATATATATATATATATATATTTATGTATATTTCACATGTCTGAAACCAATCTGAGTGCCAAACAAATCATGGTACAATGATCTTTATAAAAAGAAAAATGTTCCATGATTTGCATGTGGGCTGAATACTGCCAAGTTGACTAGGCCAAGGCAAGTGAATTTTCTTG